ACACTGTCTAGGGTTGTCATAGCTTTCTTGCCAAGAAGCAAACGTCTTCTGATCTCATGGCTGCAGTCACTATCCATAGTGTTTGTAAAGCCCAAGAAGAGGAAATATATCACTACTTCCACCTTTTCCCCCTCCATTTGCGTGAAGTAATGGGGCTGGATGCCATGATCTTAGTTTTTTTAATATTTAGTTTAAGTTGGCTCTTTCACTGTCCTCTTTCACCCTCATCAAGAGGCTCTTTAGTTCCTTTTCACTTTCTGCCATTAGAGTGACAGTCATAGTCTAGTATAGTAAACTATAGTCAGAGTGTATTATTGTCCTAAATACTATACAGCTGACCTCAACAAAGGCATGTACCTCAACAAAGTGCAGCCCAAAGTCTCACTGAGCTAGAAAGTATTACCCCAGGCAGGAGGCTAGCTGATGCCCCTTCCCAGTCAGTTCCCTAAGAACATTTGTTTTGTTCAGTAATAGGGGCGGGGAGTGGTGGTGGGATGGTGCGGGGGGTGGGGGGGGGGGTGAGGGGGGGTGGCTTGTTCAAGAATTTTCATTTAAATAGAATCACACAATAAGCAGTCTTTTAAGGAAGGTTTTTTCATTCAGTGTAAGGTTTTGAGACTCACCCGTCAGTGTGTATCACTAGTTGATTTCTTTTTGCTGAGCTTATTGTACATACTCATTTGTCCAGTGACTTGCAAACATGGACTATTTCTAGTTTGGGTCCATTATGAACACAGTTTCTATAAATAGTTTTGTACAAGTCTTTTTGTAGATGTATGTTTTCATTCCTTTTGGCTAAGTAATGATTGAAATTGCTGCGTCATAGGGTGGGTATTTGTTTAGTTTTATAAAATGCTGACAGACCTTTTACCAAAATGGGTGTGCCATTTTAAAATCCTGCCGACAATGTGTGTATGAATCTTCCAGTTGTACCTTGTTTTTTTCTTTTTAGCCATTTTAATGGGTATGTAGTGCTATGGCATTGTCTATTTGCATTTCCTCATGAACCATGAGGGTTCATCCCTTCTTAATGTGTTTTACTAGCCATTCAGGTATCTTCTTTTGGGAATGTATGCTTAAATCTTTTGCCCACTTTTAAATTACATTTTGGTCTTTTCATTATTGAACTCAAGGGATTCTTTAGTAGTCTTAGGGACCAGTCTTTGGAGATATTTTTTCTGGATATTATCTCCCAATCTGGCTTGTTTATACATTTTTTCAACATTGTTTTCTGATGAAGTCTGGCTTACCAATTTTCTAACATGGTTATTGCTTTTTATGACTTAAAACACCTTTGCCTACCTCCAGGCACAAAGATGATGTCTTACTTTTGCTATGAAAGCTTCATATAGAAATTTCCCTGGGGGACCAGTGGTTAAGACTTCTGTACTTCCAATGCAGGGGGTGTAGGTTCCATCGTGGTCTGGGAACTAAGATTCCACATGCCTTCGGAGAACCTTTGTTTTCTTTCTGTCTTGTGCAACCCTCAGCCCATCCCAGCTCATTCCTGGGCCCTGATTGCTGTGTGCTCTGAGGTCCGTGAAAGTGGGCTGGGTTTTGGAATGACCCTTTTTGATTAATTCTACTGCTCTGTAAACTGTCAGAGGACTTCGCTGTGTTAAGGAAGGTTTGGCTTTACTTCTTTCACATTTTGATTTTGCAGATTGAGTTTTAGAAGGAAATCCTAACAAGAAGAACCTTTGTCTGCATTTCTGTACTTTTATGAAGAATTTGTTTTATAACAATTTTTTGCGTTGAAATTCTGTAACTAGAAGTGGATACTTTGTATATATTAACACTTTAGGAAGGACAGTGCGTTGATTCTAGCTGTCAGAACCAGTTATGAGGTGGATTTCAAGAGGAAGGGACTGAAAACCCAAAGAAAGATTTCTTTATGCGTTGTCTTGTGACCAGGTATTCCTCACCACAGAAGTGCTCTGAAATAGCTTCGGGCTTCTAGTAAAATATTGTTGAATCCAGGTGATGTGCCTTCTTGTGGGAGATGATTTCGGCCAGAGAAGGAATGAAAACGCTTCGCCTTCAAGCTTTCATGAGCGGGGGAGGACGTTTGTCCTTGCAGAGGGGGACATGTCCGGTTTGGTGTGAAGTTGGTGTGAGGGGCCAGAGGCGGCGGTGGCCTGACTGGCCCACCCTGTGTCTCACACCCAGTGCGGCCCATCCCTGGGCCGGCGTCAGCTGCACGCGTTGTCCGCACGCGCCACGCCCACGCGAGAGTTGGTGGAGCCGCGCGAGATTGCGCCCTGAGCGCCACGTCCCTGCGAGAGTTAGAGCTGCACATGCCCACTCGGGGCCCCGCGCCTTCTTGTTTGCTGCTGGGTCTCGCGCTGGGGACCTTCTGGGTTTTAAATAGTTAAAGGAAACCAAAAGCGTCCTCTTTTAGGGAACGGGTGAAAATGATAAGTCCCAGCTTTGGTGTCCATGAGTGGAGTCGTGTTCGGAGCGCCGGGGTTGGAGGCCCACACGGCCTCTCACAAGCTCCGGTCTCCTGGCTGCGCCTTTTGCCGCCGCCTCTGTCGGTGTCCGAGCAGCGCCTGACCGCTGCGCTCACACAGCGGGGGCCAGCTGGGGGGATCCCGTGGACCTTGATCTCCGAGGAGGGGGGAGGGAGGGGAGGGAGGGGAGGGCCCGCCCGCCCTTCCTGACGAGACCCCGCGGCAGCTTGAGGGGACCGGGAGGGAGGGAAGCGGGCTCCACTGGTCAGCCTCCCTCATGCTTCTGGGGTAGAAATTGATACAGAAAGGAAATATTAAACATAGTTCGCTTTTACAAGATAATCTCTTTAGTCCTTTGTATTTAAAACTTTTAAGTTATTTCTGCCATGAGATTGATTAGTGTGGAATTTTCCAGAAATACTTGTTTCGAATGGAAATATTTACGCCTTTAAACACAACTCTTCACGAGCAGAGGCGTGGGAGAAAAGCCACTTTGAAAGCTCCACGCCCTGCCGCTGTACCCTGTGGGCCCACCGAGCGGGCATGAGGCTGGTGTGCTGGGGGTCATCTGCTGGGCCTGAAGCAGGGCCTTTCTTCACCCTTCATCCTTGTTGCCCAGAAGCCGTAACGTGTATTTAACTTCAGGCTTTTCTGTAGTTGTTACTCAGCTGCTCAGTCGTGTTTGAGTTTCTGCGACCCCCTAGACTGGAGCACACCAGGCTCTCCTGTCCACTGCCAACTCCCAGAGCTTGCTCAAACTCATGTCCATCCAGTCAGTGATGCCATCCCACCATCTCATCCTCTGCCGTCCCCTTCTCCTCCTGTCCTCAGTCTTTCCCAGCATCAGTGTCTCTTGCAGTGAGTCAGCTTTTTGTGTCAGATGGCTAAAGTTTCTGTAGTTTTCGGGCTTTGATTCTCTGTGCCCCAGGTAGATAGACTGGAGGATTTGGGGGGGCATCTTGACAATAGGGGAGATGCTGGGGGGAGGTGTCCCCGGCTGCACTCAGCTTTTGCTGTTTGGGAATGCTGGAGAACCAGGTACACCGTTGTCATCTGTCCTAACCTGTGTCTTTGCTGAAGACCTTGATGGTGGCTCAGATCTATGTCCTTAATTAAAAGAGTTGGCCAACTGTGTGGCTGGGGCCTCTGCCTACAAGGGATGAAGTGCCTGCTGCCACTGGGGAAGTGGGCTGGTGGTTTCTGTGTTGACCGGAGAGATAACAGCAGATTCTAAGTATTTCCGCAATAACTTGGGAGACATTTATGTTAAATATATTTTGTTCACATGAGTCATAGGCAGTCCCCTACTAACATGTAGGACGTTAATTAAGGTGGTGGAATTTGTCACAGTAATGGTAATAGCAATATGTTTCATGGCAAGGGTGCATGAATTGTTGCGGGATGTGTTGATCGTGAAATTCAAAGATTAATAGCATCTTCCTTTAAAGATGTTGGCGTTAAAACCCAGTTTGAAAGGTAAATAACCCAATTACCAAGAAATCGTTAGGTCCTCTGTTGACCTTTTTGGTTTTACCCGAGTGTTTCTGAGTAATATGTGCAGTACAGACCCTGTTTCCTCAGTGGGCTGGTGCGGACCACCTGGCATAGACCACAGCTGTGCTGTGTCTGGAGCGCCTGCTGTTGGCACCACGATGACCAGGCAGAGGGCTGGTGATGCCCGGCCCTGGCCAGTTGCGACTGGGAAAACTGGCTCAGCCGGTCCGGGTTCATTGTAAAAAGTGAAGAGAGAGCCCCCTTTGAATCACACCAAAAAAATGACCGACGTGACGCACGTTCATACATCCTGAGCCTGAAATTTTAGTACTTTGACTTCATCTCAGGAAAACCATGAAAACCTTGAGTGTTGTGTTACTGTTCTGTTTCTAGGCGGGTTGGCTGCCGAGGGGTCAGCCATTTACATCACCTGTTAACAATTTTTATCGTTTTTGATGTTCCATTTCTCCTTGGAAGAAAAGTTATGACCAACCTAGACAGCTTATTTAAAAAGCAGAGACATTACTTTATCTACAATGGTCTGTCTAGTCAAGGCTGTGGTTTTTCCAGTAGTCATGTATGGATGTGAGAGTTGGACTATAAAGAAAGCTGAGCACCAAAAAATTGATGCTTTTAAACTGTGGTGTTGGAGAAGACTCTTGAGAGTCCCTTGGACTGCACGGAGATCAGTCCTGGGTGTTCATTGGAAGGACTGATGTTGAAGTTGAAACTCAAATACTTTGGCCACTTGATGGGAAGAACTGACTCATTTGAAAAGACCCTGATGCTGGGAAAGATTGAAGGTGGGAGGAGAAGGACGACAGAGGATGAGATGGTTGGATGGCATCACTGACCCAGTGACCATGAGATTGAGTAAGCTCCGGGAGTTGGCGATGGACGGGGAGGCCTGGCGTGCTGTAAGTCCATGGGGTTGCTAAGAGTCGGAGAGGACTGAGCGACTGAACTGAACTGATGTTTCATTATTATGAGTTACCCTCACAGTTTATTTTTCAGATGATGCGTTCATACTTTTCTCTTTTCCTCTCTAAACAGGTTGAAAGGATCGTTGACAAGAGGAAAAACAAGAAAGGGAAGACAGAATATTTGGTTCGGTGGAAAGGCTACGACAGTGAGGACGACACCTGGGAGCCCGAGCAGCACCTGGTGAACTGCGAGGAGTACATCCACGACTTCAACCGGCGCCACAGTGAGAAGCAGAAGGAGGGCACCTTCTCCAGAGCCAGCCGGACCTCCCCGAACAATGCCCGGAAGCAGATCTCCAGGTCCACCAACAGCAGCTTCTCCAAGGCCGCCCCCAAGGCCCTAGTGGTGGGCAAGGAGCATGAGGCCAAGAGCAGCCCGCTCTTTGCTGCCAGCCAGAAGTTCCGGAAGAGCCCCGCTCCGGGCCTGGCCACCCGCAAGAACATGGACCTGGCCCGGTCGGGCATCAAGATCCTTGTGCCCAAGAGCCCCATCAAGAGCAGGACCACGGTGGACGGCTTTCAGGACGAGAGCCCCGAGAAGCCAGACCCCGTGGAGCAGGGGCCGGAGGACACGGCGGCCCCAGAGGCAGCGGCCGAGAAGCCGGTCGGGGCCCTTCTGGGCCCGGGAGCGGAGCGGGCACGGATGGGGAGCCGGCCCCGGATACATCCGCTGGTGCCGCAGGCGTCGGGCCCCGTGACAGCAGCCATGGCCACGGGGCTGGCCGTGAATGGGAAAGGTAAGTGATGCGCCAGGGTGGGGGGGCGGAAGGGGGCGCCACCTCACCACCACGGTTCTGCCCCGGAAGGCGGGCTGGCCGGCCTCAGCCCAGGGGCTTCTGGGGGCCCTGCTCCCAACAGAGCAGGTGCGAGTCTGGGAGCCCTGGAGAGAGCTCACCAGCCCCTCTGTTGACTGGAAGCCTGGAGCGTCGGCCTCTGAAGTCAGCTGCCCACGGGCTGGCCCGCTGCGTTGACTGCGTTTAAACAGCGCCCCCCTCTAGGTAGGTCGTGGCTGGCATTTCTTTACTTTCTACTTTATGCATCTTAACACACTGGGTCTCATGCTAGGAATCCATCTGAAATTTCAAAGTGTGAGCAGTATTGATTAGAAGTCACGGTTCTACTGTCCTCAGCCATCTAGATAACCAGAAACGGTTTTCAGTAGGGTATCAACGACTAATAAATAGAGACTTCAGGGGTCTCTCTGAAGTAGTCAGCTGTTGGGATCTTTATTTCAGAGTAGGGGTCCGTTCAGCGTGGGTGCTACTCTCTGTTGCGTTTTTACGCTGTTCTTGCACACCCTGGGTCACACACCTGGGCGTCAGCAGACGGCTTCCTTCCCAGCGCTTCCCCGGGCCTGGTGAGCCGCCACTTGTGAGATTCTGCTGCGTCTTCTCTGGTGTAAGCCTTGCCTCACCGTGGGTCCCGGTGCACTACCCCCTGCCCCGGCTGTCTTACTGGGCCCCTTGCTTCCTGCCCTCCGACCACTCCCATCCACTTCCAATCCATTCTTGAACGGGACAGACATCCCCAGTCGCCAGGCCGGTTGCTCCACCATCACCTCAGTCACCCGGGGCTTGCGAGTCTGGCTGGGCCTCCGCTGCCTCCGGGGCACCCGCTCTTCTCTGCCGGGAGCTGCCCGGCCCTCCCACACCTCTTGGACTCCGGTCCCCGCTGGTCTGGGACCCACTGCTCCCCCACCCCGTCCGTGGGCAGGATGGGGGCCACCTCTGTCCTGTGCGTGTTCCTCGGCCCACGCTCAGTGGACTCACGAGGAACGAGACGCAGGGCTGGTGTGGGGAGCTCTGTTCCCCTGAGACACCGCTCGGCCCGCTTGCTGTGGTGGGTCCCGCTGGCTTGGTCTCGGGCCCTGGATCCCAGGGAGGAGGACAGGCTGAAGTCGGGGTCCCCTTTGCACAGTAGCGGTCCCTTGCCGGTATTTGTCCGACACGTACTTCACCTGGGTGCTCTGCCCCTCCCTGCCCTCGGCCTCCCCCGGAGCTCGTGTGAGTGCGTTTGCAGAGGTGACCTCTTAGACGCGGGCCTTGAGCTCGGTGTCAGGAAGGACTGTAGGGGTTCGGGGGTAGACGAGACCTGGTGGTGGCGGATAGAAGGCTCCACTTCACAGGGAAGTCGAGTCCGGAGAGCTGGTGGGGTTCAGGCAGAGAGGGAATCAGCGCCGTTTCTCAGTTCTTCCCAGTTTGTACTCCTCCCCATTGCTGGTTGCCTCTGCCAGGCAGGCAGACAGACTTGTCCTCCTGCGTGGCAGACGTTGGGTCCTGCTCTGCACCCGTCTCTGCTGCTGCAGACGGGGACCTGGGCCCGCGGGCCAGACCCTATGTGGCCTGTCAACTGAGAGTGGTTTTCACATCTTCCGGTGTTGAGAAAATCAAGAGGAATAATACTTCATGAGCCATGAAAATATAAGAAACTCTGATTTCTGTTTCATCAAGTTTTATTGGAACGTGGCCATGTTTGTTCACGCTGATGGCCTGTGTCTGCTTTCCGGCTGCGGGGACAGACTTGAATCACTGTGACAGAGCCCACGTAGCCCGCGGGGTGAAGGAGGCACATGCTCATACACACCCTGCTCTGGGTTACACACACACAACACACACACTCTAAGAACTTGAGTCATCGTGCCAGAGCCCGTGTAGCCTGCGGGCTGGAGGTACACACACACACGTACTCGCTCTAGATTATATAGACGCACACACACAGAATCATTGTGACAGAGACCGCATAGCCTTTGAACTGAAGAAGGTGTGTACACACACACACTCACACTCGGTCACTCTACCTGGTCTAGGAAGCCACGGTCCCAGTGGGCAGACTCAGACTCTGTGGTTGATCCTCCACAGACTTTCCAGGGGAGAGGGACCCTTCTGTTTCCACATCCTGCCCTTGGCACAGCTCTGCAGGGTCGGCTGCCCTTAGCAGAAGCCTTCAATTCTTTGCATAACGTGTGCGGTGGCTTCTGTTTGAAGTTAAAGTTGGTAACTTCTTTTTTCAGTATTCTGACCATTTCAAAAATTTTTTCAGTATCTGTAAGGGTGACTGTGGTTAAAACCACAAGGGGCATGTGAACATAAAATCTCACACGCCTTTCATCTTGTTCTGTGGGGGTGGGTGGATTGGGGTGAGAGTGACGTACTCCCCAGGGCCCCAGGGAGTGCCCTTCGCTCCTGCTCCCCCGAGTGGCCACAGGTTGAGGACCCCCCCCAACGCAGATGGCGGGAAGGCCGGCAGCCCCCCTGCCCCCCGCCCCCCAGGAGTGTCTGCAGGGCCACGGTGGGCCCGTCTTGCAGGGGCATCGGGGTCGGGGTGCCTCCTCTCTCGCGGGGCTAAGCGCCGCACGCCCCTTGGCCAGAGCTGGGCCTGCATGTGGCGGGCGTGAGTCAGGCGGGACGGTGCTCGATGCAGAAGGGCTGGAACACATCCTTTGTGGCTCCGTCCCCGGATGGTGCTCAGCAGGAGTGGGTGCTGTTGCAGAGACAGGTCCGTGGGCCAGAGCACAGAACCTTCCAGAAAAGCCTGTCCTCACCCTTGGCGTGTCTTTTTCACAGCAAGCTGGGCTGAGGCCCTTCTGAGGAGTTAGTCCACGTTCACACTTTGTTAACAGAGTTAATTTTAGAGCTGCATCAGAACCCTGATTTGTTTTTCTGAAACTAATTGAAGCGCTGCTCATGGAGTCATTGGGAAACGAACCATCTCCTATTCAAAACATTAATGTGGGGGGATATTTTTGCTACCAAGCACAACAGATATTTAAATGTCTGTTACCCAAAAGAGTAAATGTTTCTGGAGAATTTTAACATACACACAGTGACTCTTACAGACTAACCGTATGTGAGTGTAGTTTTTGATGATTTTAAGTATGAAACAGGTTTAAAAGATGAATATGTTGCTTTACTCAGAAATAGAAAAAGTTTTCAATTTAGGCAGTGCAGCTGTCTTTCCAGTCTTATTAATAAGTTAATGATTCTGTTTTTATGCTCTTTTAATTGCCTGGTGAATTAATCCTAAAAAAGCAATTGCTTTTAAAAACTATATTATCATTACTTTGTTCTTTTGTGAATTCAAATATGTTGTTGATCACCATTCCACAAGTATGACGTTTGAGAAAAGGTTATTAGCAAACTTTTTTTTCTCATGACATCTAAACCTTATCAGTGTTACAGGGTAGGGTTGGCAGCTGGATTTTAAGTCCAAACTAACAGTGGCTCGTCATTAAAGAACCCACCTGCCAGTGCAGGAGATGAAGAGTTCAGTCCCTGGGTCAGGACTATCCCCTAAAGGAAGGCATGGCAACCCACTCCAGTGTTCTTGCCTGGAGGATCCCACGGACAGAGGAGCCTGGCGGGCTCCAGTCCAGAGGGTCGCAAAGAGTCAGCTATTAACAACAGATTCAGGAGGAAAATGACTGAGGAAACACAACAGACCACATGTTTTCCATCTCATGAGCATTTTCAGTTGAAGCAAGGACCTGGAAGGAAGCGTGCGTCTTCCAAAGAGGTGCATGTAAAGTCCTCCGATAAGAAGTGAGACAGGTGGTGGTTCCTCGCCCCTGTGCATGTTAGGGAAGCCCAGAGCCGCTTTGTCAGAGGCGGCCTGAGGCCGCTTACTGCGTAAGTGCCGAAAGTGCTGAAAGTGGGGCCCAAATCCAGGGAGGCTAAGAAGCCAGGAGACTGGGGCGCAGAGAGTCCTGGCAGGGCCGCCGCAGGAAGTGCCTGCAGCACAGAGGACGTTTGAAGCCACACAGTAGCGGTCAATTAAACGTGTGCCTGAGGGCGCGACACAAAGGGTTTCCCTTTGAAAATGTCGGTTGGCATCTCCTGTCTGACGGGCCCTGGCGTCCTAGATGAGCCTGGGTCCCCGCAGGAGGAGCCCCTCCACCAACCTCTGCGCTCTGTCCTATGCTCCTGGGGGCGCCCCTCCTCGCTGCCCCGTGAGGGTTTTTAGGGACACTCGGATACCTGGCACTCCGGGCAGCGTCGACCCAGCAAGCCCACTTTGGGGTCCCTGTGACGGTGTGGTTTCTCTCTCCTTCCCACACTCTGGTGTCTCCTCCCATGCCCATGGTTCTCGGGGTCATGGTCCCCAGAGCAGCAGCAGCAGCAGCACCCAGGCACCTGCCCAGGCCCCGTCCTGCCTCCCGAACTGGACTTTTGGGGGACCAGGGTGCCCGCCAGGGAGTTCCAGTGCCATCCTGTGCTGTTTTCCTGTGACTTTGTGGTTTTGTGGAGCAGGATGGGAAGTAACTGTCTGCTAACACTAAATTCATTTAACTGTCTGCTACTTTATTTTAGGTTCTTATAGTTAGATTTAGTTCCTATTCTGTCTTGATTTGAAATTGTCTTCAGGTGTTCATAATTGCTTTTTAGTAATTATTTTAACAGTAAATTTTTAAGTAACAGGAAGACATAAAGTATTGGGTTGTCAAAAAAGTTCTGTCTAGTTTATCTGTAACATCTTAAAACATCCCAAAGGGGGAAGAAAAGGTAAGAGTCCCGCCTCCCCCACCCCACGGCCGCCTCCTCCCGTGAAACTGCTCCTCACCGTCCTCTCCTTGCAGAGCCTGTGCAGACACGCACGTCTTTTAAATGCGCCAGTGGACTCCTGCTTGTCTTACGGCTCTGCCGCCGCCGAGGTTCCATTTCCATTTTTATGATCCGTCTTGGATGTGTTTTCACACTCACGTGAACAGCCCTTCGTTCTTTAAAGGGGTTGTGGTTATTTA